GGAGGGGGTAGCAATCCCTTTCGGGGAGTATCCTCCGGCTCCTTCTCTTTTCTCTTAGATTGGAGGGTTCGGCCTTTGCTACTTCCCATCTCGTCCTCGATCCTTGAGTGCTTGTTTATCCGGGCCATCAGCTCGCCCATATCCGAGGGAGTCTTCTTAGTCAGGGATCGGTACAGGTCCGTGTCCCTCGCCAAGCCGAGCCTGAAAGACGCCGCTGTCATGACTTCCGAGCAGCCTTCTACCTCATTAACCTCTTCCCAGTATCGGATGGCATACTAGCGAAGGGTCTCGGATTCCTTACGTTTGAGCGTTAACAATGATCCAACGTCTTTGGGATGCTTACTCCCCGTAATAAATCGAGCCAGGAACTGCCTCGTCAATTCCTTCCACGATCCAATACTGTTGAGGGGAAGCGCCTCGAACAACTTCATCACAGAGTCCCCCAAGCTCATAGGAAACACTCGGCAGAGGAACCGTTGGTCCGAATGATAGAGGGACATCATCTGCTTGTATTGCCTGAGATGGGCTTCGGGATCGGACCGTCCGTCATAAGTTTTGAACCTCAGCACGACAAACTTTCTTGAAACCTTCATCTCTCCGATCTCCCTGGTAAAGGGTGTTTGTATGACCTCGTCTTCAACCTCATCCTGGACAGCCTTACTCTTTCTCTTGGATTCCAACCGGGCTCTGAGATCAATTTTCTCCCTGATGGGATGTCTTTTGAAGTCTTTGAGTTCATCAATAGGCCCCCCATTTCCTGGGCGCCGTGTGGATAGGGTAGAATCCTCCTCGGACTCATCTCCCTTCCTCCGTCTAGACAATCCTCGCCGGAGGTCATCAAGGGCTAATGGCCTTGCCTTCCTTGAATGGTCGTTAGGAGGGTGCTCATTGGCTCTCGGTCGCTTTGGGGCCTTGGAGCTTTCTGCCTTGTTGTTTAGATGATTCCTTAGATCCTTCGTTTTCTCCTCCCGGACGGGGAGCCCACGAGAGAGGAATGAGTCCATCGACCCTTTGCCGGAGGCGGCAAATTCGTTGAGCCTGCTTAGGACGTTTACATTGTCCTTTTTTCAGTTGTCGTAATCTATCGCCAAACTTTTCTTCGATCACCTCCGCCAGCTGACGAGCCAGGGGGGCTGATCCTCCTGACCTGATTCCCATACTGGTTTGAGGGGTAACCCCTCTTGACTGAGTAGAGGCATTTTTATTCCCATCAGTGTGATCCCTTTCTCCATGGTGACAGGGAGCTTGCAATTCAAGACTTCTTTGGTGGGGACCTTTCCCTTTTTGTCGAGTTTTCACCATGGTCACTGTTCTTTATAGAGAAAAAACTAGGAAAACTAGCCGTTTCCCACAGACGGTGCCAGATTGTGCGTGCTAGATCTTGCACAATATAAAAATGAGAACAGATCTCTCCCTTGGTGAACTCGAGTGAGTCAGTTGAGTGGTCAACCACGCTGCTTGGAACAGCCTGTGAGATCCGGTGGTAACCTGAAACGGTAATGGAAGACATTCGCGGATCAAAGGAACGATCTAGTAAGGCTGAAGAAAGGTTCCTGGAACAAAGAATAACAAGTTAGAAGGGCGTCGGAGTGTTTTTCGGCGTATCCCCTCCGATGATCAAGTCAGTTTTTGAGAGAGAGGAAGAAAAAAACACTGAGTATAATTTATAGCAAAAGTTTCACGTCATTTTCTTGCCTTTAGTGAGGAGTATTTATACCTCAAATACTCATGATTGCTGTCAGCGTGGTCAGTAGGTGATCATTAGATACAGGCAACGAGCGCACTGATTCCTATGAGGAATGTCTTCTCTCTTAACTGCTCGGGACCCCGAGCAATCAAGACTGTGTCATCGGCCTGCCGACGGTTCAATGAGCTCTTCTTAGGGAGGATGCAATAAATGCCCAGCCTTAGAGACATTTATTGTCTTTCACTTCTGAGCCTTACTGCATTGAATGCAGTCTCATCAAGGGAATGATGTAATTAAATGCTTGTTTTCTCAAGTCGCGTGTCAGCAAGGTCATGCGCTCTTTCTGTCTCTGATGTGACACAATATGCCACGCGTCCATTCCTCATTAGCTGTGGCCCCTGCCTTCCTGTGCCTTCTGATACCAATTGTGTAAGACGAGGTCATGATAGCTAACCTAGCCTAGCCTAGGCTAGTGACCAGTGCATCAATAACCTCTGCTGGAGCAGAGAACTTCATCATGGATGAGAGGGGTATATCTCGGTACCGAGGAAGAGGTACATCTCGGAGCCGAGGAAGAGGTACATATCGGAAATCGAGGAATAGGTACATCTTGAATCTGAGAGGGGGAGGCCTAACGACCGATGTACCATATCAGATCGAGGGTACGTATCGGTATATAAAAACATACTAGATGCCACTCGATCCCATGATAAGTACCTCGGGGTAGAGGGGACTTGTGACCCGATGGGTACGTGATCTCGATAACAAGGATCAGTGACACCGAGGACATGTGTCTTCATCTTGGAGTATTCCGGAAATGTCCCATCATTAACAAATTATAAAACATGATATAATAAACCCCCCCTTTCCTTTGGATATGGGTTTCCTTGAGGTGAGCCATCTGTGTTCAGCTTGATCCACTTTTCTAGTAGAGCCTACCAGCTTAATAATCTTTCGGATCTCACGGGTCTTTGGGGAATGTGGGTCACGCAAAACAATTCAAAAGCTCCAGTGAAGAGGACTTACAGATTTCATTTTGGAAGATGAGTTTGTTTCTGGTGAATTAGATTGATGCAAATGTTAGTGGGATCTCCAAGGGAGGTGTGATTGATAAGGGACTCGTGTGATGATTTACAATTTATTTTGAGTCATTCAAGAAGTGGCTTTGGGAAAGCGTGACTGAGGTTAGAAGGAATTCCTATCTCGGTCTAGACCTTTTTGGGTTGGTCACATTCCCTTAAAGCCATGGATGGTGGATTCCTCTTGGACTCCACACTCTGTACATTCCTGATTGGGGATGATTTTCCTATGGTGACTGTGGACCTTGGCTGGGAGTGTTCCAATATGCATGTAGTACTGTCGAATTGCAGTTGTAACCGAGGAAATCAAGGTAGCCCTTCCAACCAAGGACAAAAAGCTTGCCTTCCACCCAATCAAACGTTGTCTTACCTTATCAATGATTAGGGATAACCCGTGCCTAAAGGTACGATAAATGAATAGTGATATATTTGAGAGAGGGAAACAAATTTAATGTGAATGATTTTTACAGAAATACTTATGACTGTTGGATGAGTCTATTTGAAACTAAAAGGGGTGCAAGGCTTCGTTCGAATAGGTATGTTTAATGATTTATGCCTTCTAGTTCCGCTTGAATAGTTGTTGTCTCGTTGAATAGTTGATTTTCCTAATCAATCTAGAGGTTACCAAGCCCGACAAAAGTTTGAGGTCTATCAAAAGTAAAATCAAAGAGGCCACTAGCTTGGGATAAATAAACCTTTGAATTGGTTTCCATGCTTTGTTTGCAACCATAGTCTCTATCATGTGCGAAATTAAGGACATTCATACAGCTAAAAAGCAAATAAGGTGAAAGGAGGTCCCTTGTTTAACTCCCCTGGTTGCTTAGAGCCAGTCTGGCACATTGCCATTCAGAAGAATTGCTAATTGTGTGGATTTCACACATGCCATAATAAGATTGATGATTTTTGAAGGGAAATAAATCTTCCGAAGAGTGAGTTTTGGAAAATTCTAGTCTATCCTGTCATGTCTTTTCAATATCTATTTTAATTACCATCGCTACTTTTCTTACTTTTTTTTTTTGACAAGTGATTGTATGACTTATTGAGTGATAATAACATTATCAACACTTTGTCATCTTGGAATAAAAGTTGTTCGGCATGGATGAATAAAAGTTCTCAATAAATATGAATTTATGATCAATTGAAAAAAAAATTAAAATTTATTAATGTGTCCACCTTAAAATAATTTTTTGGCTCTGATAAAGACTGAATCAAACATCTATATAATAAAGTAGCTTACAATTCAAATTTTAAAAAATAAATAAGATGGCTTTTACTTTTCGCAGTTTAGATCACTTTAAATTTTACGTTAAAGTTAATCTAACGGCTAACTTTAACACCCTAAATTTAATAAGAAAAATAGGATCCTAAGGGTTGTGTTTAGAGTAATTTTTTAAAAGTACTTTTATAAATTATTTCTCATAAGTACTTTAAAAAAAAAAAACTGTTTGAAACTGCTCCACCACTACCTCTACTACCGTCGTTGCTACCACCTCCGCCACCCCTCCCCCCACCACCGTCACCCTTCCGCCACCCCCACCCACCGCCACCCCCACCCCCCACTCCCACCACTATTGTCACCGTTGTCGTCGCCCATTCCACCACCACTACCACTACGGTCATTACCACCACCACCACAATCATCACGGTCTCCTACCACCACTTCTACCGCCCACCACCTCTCATCCCCACTACAAACCGATGTTTAAATTCATTTATTTCTGTTTTATGTTTGTAATTTGATTTTGAATATAAATACAAATATGTTTATGATTTATTATTTTTTATTATTCTGTGTTTTCAGAGACAGACAATAACTAGTGAGTAAATATTAGATGTAACTATCCAATAAAAAAATATATAAAAATAAGATTTATTTTTTATCATTGAGATGATTATGTATTATATGATTCAGTATTTATGAGTTTTAGTAGGGTTTATTTATTGGCTTATTTACTTCTTAGGGACAATTACACTATCACTGCAGGCGTGACAAATATTTTTTCGCCAAACACGACTTGTCCCGCGCCTGGGTGGCCCAATGCTGAAACCCACCCAACGGCCAACTGAAAAGCAAAGAACACATCCACAACCTTTGAGTATTATTTCTTGCAATTAGGCTGTTTTTGTCTCGTCTCCTTGAGGAATCATCGATTAGAATCATGCCAACCCAAAACCCCTTTCTTCAGTTCCATATTTAAATCCAGCAATAACACAACACTTCCGAACTCTCATCAATGACCGCCCAGATGCTTTTGTCTCAGTCACAGTCCATGTCTCGAACAGTGCTCACTTTTTCACCCACCTCCCACAATCCTCAGTTCTTCAGTCACCACAAAACCACCCAATTGAATGTTTTTACACCCAGAAATCAAAAACTCAAATTTCCCTATGTTTATGCTCTAAAAATCCCAGATGTCAATGTTTTGGGGAAATCCAGTTATGGGAAATCAGGGTCTTTCAATTCCCAGTTGGTCAGTCACCAAACCATGCAATTGGATAGTTTCAGACCCAGAAGTCAAAAGCAAAAGTTTCTGTCTTAAAATCCTCTGAAACCCCAAGATTCTAGCGGTTGTAGAATAGGTATTTTCCTACTAAGGTCTTGCAGTTTCCAATTTTTATGTAACAACAATACTATACAATTGAGTAGTTCTAGACCCAGATACCAAAAACAGAGAATTTTGTGTTTTGACCCATTGAGAACCCAAGATTTTATTAACCCCCAGCTTGGTGAGTCCAAATTCGGTTATTATGGCGTGAGGCGGAGGAATAGAAGCTTGATGGTGAGCTCAAAATCAGTTATGAGTGTAGATAAAATGTTGGAGAGTGATGGAAGGGAAGGAGTAGGTGGCAATAGCAGTTACGATGCCATTGTTATTGGGTCAGGGATTGGTGGATTGGTTGCGGCGACGCAGCTAGCCGTGAAGGGAGCTCAGGTTTTGGTGCTGGAAAAATATGTGATTCCTGGTGGGAGTTCTGGGTTCTATCAGAGGGATGGCTTTACATTTGATGTTGGATCATCAGTGATGTTCGGTTTCAGCGATAAGGTTAGTTTGAAGATCATCAGTTCTTTCTCCTACAGATATAAATAGTGTAGAATGATGAATTGATTAGTGAAGACCTGGAAAACATGTCTAACAATTATCAATTCAACAAAGTAAATTACACATTCCGATGAAATTGCATACTTTTGCTAATGTGTAGATAACAGGATTTATATTTGTTGTAGTTTGCTAATAATATATGAGACAGTACTTATGCAAAAAAAATCCCAGTTCCTTACAAGTAGCATATTTAATGCTTCATTGCAAGAGTAATTGGCATTGTTGTTAATGTCTCCAGCATCTCACTCTAGTTTCTGTGTGTTTTCATTCTTGAGGTACTTGTTTCCACTGACTCTATTGTTTATAGGTGTATTCATTTTTTTTGGAATAACTATGTATGCTTCAAATATGGCAGGGTAATCTAAATTTGATAACTCAAGCATTGGCAGCTGTTGGATGTAAGATGGAGGTGATACCCGATCCAACAACTGTCCATTTTCATCTACCAAACAACCTTTCTGTACTAGTACACAGGGAATATAGTGAATTCATTGCAGAACTTGCTAGTAAATTTCCCCACGAAAAGGAAGGGATCCTCAAATTCTACAATGAATGCTGGAAGGTCGGTTTGGATTGAGGTGACTGCAGCTTCCTCTAAATGTCTTCATCTCACAATCCACTGTTCAAACTTTCACTGACAACTTATATGCTTGGTCGATAGATTTTCAATGCCTTGAACTCATTGGAATTGAAGTCCCTTGAGGAGCCAATTTATCTTTTCAGACAGTTTTTCAAGAAGCCTCTTGAATGCTTGACACTCGGTAATGGTTTTACATTTATTTGCTCTGGTGAAATGTTCTTCCATATTACGATGATGGTGTCGATAGATGGTGAATATTTACGGATTAAGACTCCCTTTAAGATATCTTTTTGGCAGTACTGTCTGATTGAAAATGTGATGTGTTACTATGTATATTATTTTTCTTATAAAAGGTGAGAGTAATGTTAAAACGAGGCTGGAGAAAAAACACAATTACTTTATAAGCAGCTATGCACCAAATATATTACTATCAAAACACGTTCCACAAACCAAGTAAACAAAGCCTCATCTCTACCGTCTATGGATGGGAAGCACATCATGAATAAGGGATTTTTTTTATCATTAATGCAAAGTTTTATATGCACCTTCGCAACTGAAATGTCACTAGATGAATATCTTACTAGTTTTGGTATCTTTTCAGCCTATTATTTACCCCAAATGCTGGAGACATTGCTCGTAAGTACATAAAAGATCCTCAGCTGCTGTCCTTTATAGATGCTGAGGTGGGCTGACATTATTCCCTTCATCAGTTTTACCATATTTGGGCCTTTGGGATTATTATATGGCAT